TACCCATTCACTTCTTACGGCATTATTCACTTCTTGGTCATCTATACGCCATCTCCTCCTGTTACAACGTTCGTCAGGTCGCTGTTATACGTCTTTCTTATCTCTGACACGTAGATCTGTTCGCATCATGCCTTCTGCTCCATTTTTCATGTCTCTTACATGTGAGTCTATTCGCATCAATACTTTTTGATTTTTAAAGTCTCTGACACGTGGATCTGTTCGCATCATGTCTCTTGTTCCATATTTCATGTCTCTGACACGTGGATCTGTTCGCATCCCTCCTGTTTCGTCTTTCATGTCTCTGACACGTGGATCTGTTTGCATCACTCCTGTTTCGTCTTTCATGTCTCTGACAAGTGGATCTGCTTGCATCATGCCTCCTTTTTAGTGTTTCATGCCTCTAACACGTGAATCTGTACGCATCACTCCTGTTTCGTCTTTCAAGTCTCTGGCACGTTGATCTGTTCGCATCACTCCTTTTTAGTTTTTCATGTCTCTGACACGTGGATCTGTTTGCATCACTCCTGTTCCGTCTTTCATGTCTCTGACATGTGGATCTGTTTACATTACTCCTGTTTCGTCTTTCAAGTCTCTGACACGTGGATCTGTTCGCATCACTCCAGTTTCGTCTTTCAAGTCTCTGACACGTGGATCTGTTCGCATCACTTCTGTTTCGTCTTTCATGTCTCTGACACGTGGATCTGTTCGCATCACTCCTGTTTCGTCTTTCATGTCTCTGACATGTGGATCTGTTTGCATCATGCCTGTTTCGTCTTTCATGTTCTGACATGTGGATCTGTATTAACACATTCCACATAATCTTTCACGTGTGTATGCACAGTGTACACTGCTCACGTTGCAACCTTCATTACGTCGCTTCACGCTGATCTGTATATAGCTAGCACTCGCGCACTGCTCGCAAATTTCATATCTCTAACGATTCTTTTTGCTACCTATAACCTCACATTTTATCCACTGTGTACCAAACTTCATCTGTTCGAAGCAAGAAATTTGTTAGCAATTCCTCAAATGATTAGCGGGATTGTTTATGTTTTTTTAAACTTAATTTAAATTGAGATTATTTGAACACTCTTTAATTTCGATGACCTTAATTGTAATTTTTGTTATTTCCTCACTAAAGCCGCGATGAAACTTCTAAAGTTTCATCATTATTGTAACATTTGAAAAGTTGAAAACTCAACTTATTCAAATCAGATATAGTACAACTTTTTTAGAACGAACTTGAAATGAGTTTCTCTCAAATCAACTACGAATTTATGCTATTTCACACGAATTTGGCTGCAGTTTACACTGTTTTCACTGTTTAAAAACAAGTATACAGTGGTGCTGATCTCTTGCTGTTCACGTAAGTTTAGCTCGCGCGATACTGCAGCATCAAAGGTCGGCTGCAGCAGCAGCAGCAGCATCGCGACAGCAGCAGCAGCGTTAGCAGCAGCAGCAGCAGCAGCTGTTCTCGCGCGCCGCTNTTTCGGCATTAATTTTGACGATATTTTCCACACTTGCTGCTCTTAGAACTAATAAGTATTGCAAGGCCAAGCTGGATAAGGACTGTCTCTTATACACATCTAGATGTGTATAAGAGACAGCTCTTATTGATAGCTTTTATTGAGGGCTCTTATTGATAGCTTTTATTGAGGGCTCTTATTGATAGCTTTTATTGAGGGCTCTTATTGATAGCTCTTATTGAGGACTTTTATTGGTAGCTGTTATGGAGGGCTCATATTGTGTTCTGTTAATATGGAAGGTGTTTTGATTGCTTTTATTGATGGCGTCTCTTACTGCAGTTCATTGTAGCCTTATATTACTATTTGTTGTTGAGAAATCATATTGTCTGAAGTTGTTGAGGGCTTGTAGTGTAGTTCTTGCTGTAATTGAAAATTCTCATTTATGTTGTTATCGACGAGCTTATATTGCTTACTGCAATTGTATTCTGATGTTGCATGCTGGTTGATATCTTCTATCAGTTGAAATGTTATGTTGCTCGCCCCCGAATAAGTTTCTTCGTCTTGCTTCATCTGTAGCTTCTTCGTCTCGCTTCAGCTTCATTGCTCTGCTGATGCAGTAGCGTCGTCTGGCTATCCGCCGTGCGACGTTCGCTAATCTAAGTAATTAGCAAACTGCACATTCGCGTGCTTCCGCCATTTCGGCTAAACCTGTTCATTGCCTACGTGACGACTGACCTGAGAACATTTTGCGGTTAACGACGATTGTTTCAACGCGTGAAAAAAATTACAAAAGCATGCGCATTTCTAGGACCTACCAGCCATGAATTAATTTGGTCTGATGTCAAATAATTGTGATGAGCATAGCTTTACTAAGATTTTTCTATCAACGGAGCTCAACTCCGTTGAGACAAGATTCTTGTCTCAAAAGATGATTAAATACATTACATTTGATTAGTGCAACTGCTACTATCTATGAGAATCGTGCTCCAGGTTTTTCTTGCATTTTTAATTGTAATTTGGAATTTACGTCTTGGAGCATATAATTTTTAAAATCCTTGAACAGAAGGATCCTGGAGACATAACATTTTTAAGTTCATTAAACATGAGTATATTAGAAAAATATCATTTTTAAGATCCTCAAACATGACGATCCAAGAGACATACAATTTTTAAGTTCATTAAACGTAAGTATCCTAGGGAAATATAAGATCCTTAAACATAAGGATTCTAGAGACATATAATTTTTAAGATCCTCAAAGACTAATACTTAGGTTCGCCCCCAAACAAAATAGGAGTGGTTGAATGTACGTCAACTTGCTGTATGTATCTCCTAGCTCGTATATCTGTCTAGCCTCCCTTGCTGCTACCGTGTCGCCATGCTGGTTTATAGTACATGTTGGTTTCTTTGCATTACGAGTTGGCTCTGAACATATCAACATGTACAACCTCAAAACCAATTCATATACTGTACCTCTTTCTGTGATCTTTTAAATATTCAATACCGGAACTAATTTTATAGTTTATGTATTACCACATCTCCTGCTTACAATTTTATCGTAGGATCGTAAGTATCATTATTAAATATCAATATTTACTCTATTAAATACAATACAATATTACAATACTTTCATTACTGAGTGTCAAGATTATTGGTATCCTCCTGACTTTTTCGTGGCTTATCAGCTTTTTCATTCTTCAATTATTCATAATTGTAGCTCAACCATTTCATGACCAGCCAAAGTGTGACCCATTTCGTTGAATTTATTCAGTTTTAATTTCAAGACAAGAAACACAACGGCGACAGTTCCCTCTGTCTCTGCTCTGTGTGCCTCGGATGCCCAATTCGCACTGAAAAACTAATGGCTTATATAGCCCATATATTGGGACATATTTCGGCATTAATTTTGACGATATTTTCCACACTTGCTGCTCTTAGAACTAATAAGTATTGCAAGGCCAAGCTGGATAAGGATGACTCACACAGGAACAAAAAAAAAATGTATCTCTACCTGGACAAAGTGTCGTTCATTATCCTGAGTGTAGATTGGCATGCCCTTGACTAACATCAGCGCTGCTCAGAGGCGCTTCAATATATGTACAAAGTTGCAATTAACTTACAATTTGTTTCCTGCATGGAACTTACGCTTCTAATGAATATCAATCATCATAATTCCTAATCCCTATTGGAAAACAATGTTTGTTATCGGACGAATTCGAGTGTATTCTTCCGTAGTTGTCGTTTTTATGGAAATGATCAGATGGACGTGAAGGTTTTTAACGGGCTTTTGTTTGCAGGCTTAATATTCGCTACGTTCTTTGCATTATGAGTTAGCTCTGAACATATCAACATGTACAACCTCAAAACCAATTCATGTACCTCTTTTGTGATCTTTTAAATATTCAATACCAGAACTAATTTTATAGTCTATGTATTACCACACCTTCGGCTTACAATTTGCTCGTATGTTCGTAAGTATCAATATTAAATATCAATATTTACACTATTAAATACAATACAATATTTAAATACTTTCAATACTATATACGAGTATAAAGATTATTTTATCCTTCTGACTTTTTTCGTGGCTTATCAGATTTTTTATTCTTCAATTATTCATAATTGCAGCTCAATCGTTTCATGACCAGCCAAAGTGTGAACCCATTTCGTTGAATTATACAATTGTAACGTCAAGACAAGCAACACATATAAGACAAGCCGCGGATGTCGAATTCGCACTGAAAAACTGATGAGTCGAATAGTCCAAAAATTGCCACACTTGCTGCTCTTAGAACTGATACGCCCTTTTGAAAGGCCAAGCTGATTAAGGATGACTCGCAAAGGAACAAAAAAATGCATCGGTACTTAGACAAAGTGTCGTTCATATCTTTTAGTGTAAGACGGCATGCCCTTGGCTAATATCAGCGCTGCTCTGCATGAGGCACTTCAATACCTTTAAAAAGTGGCAATTAATTTACAATTTGATTCCTGTAACTTACGCTTCTATAATGAAAATCAATCAACATATTTCCAAATCCCTATTGGAAAACAATTGTTTGTTTGTTATTGGACAAATTCGAGTGTAATCTTCCGTAATTGTCGTTGTTATGGAAATGACCAGATGGACGTGGAGGTTTTTAACGGCCTTTTGTTTGCAGGCTTAATATGCGCTAAGTGTATACTAGAGCCAAAAATTATCTTGGCAATTAGCTTACGTCAATGTTTCATATTATTACAGAATATTTTTCGTTTTCGCTGCCTTAAAGCGATCGAAATACATTATCGCATGAATGTTTTTGTTTTGATTACACTTTATTCAAATATGTTTTTTTCTACCTTCATGGACGCGTGTTACCCATTATGAACTTGCAGTCTCAAATTGATAAAGGATGTTAAAATTACTATTCATCAACGGAATATTTATTTTATATTATTTCTTAGAAAATATTCTTAAACCCTCACAACTGTGAGAATGATCAGAGCCTGCGTACTTGAATAATTGCATTTCTCCTAAATTTTGTATTTTGTTGCCATAGGCTCGAAGGTGCTTCAGCTGCTGCTCAGTTTTGCTGTGGGTGGCTTGCTGGCTGACGTCTTCCTACACTTGCTTCCTGAGGCGTGGTCTTCTGCTCTGCAAGGTCCGTCTTAATTACTACTCATGCTGACTAACATAAGCCTAATGTCTAATTAACATCCAAAGTTTAAATCCACGAAACGCTATTCGAAGCAAAAAAATAACAACATATACATTACCTTCAACATTATTCAAATAAGTTTTATTATAAAAAAATATAACCCTGTCATAAGTCGAGGACGTTTCAACGGTGTGTCAAGGGCTGTCAGTGCGTCTTATTGACGATCGTAACGCGTGTGAATCTTCGGAGCGTCTGAGGCCAGAGTGGCACTTAGTCGGAGAATTTTAGAGAGCCATCGACCGACCGCGGTGTCCCCGGACACATGGTCGACGTCTTCGTGACGTGTTCGGGTTATCTTGCACGAACATACACTGAGGTCTTCAGGTATTTATTAGGAAGAACGACCTCTGTACAATGTGCTTTCCTGAAATAGTTGCTAATGCACTTACGAACCAAATTTTAAAACGTTTAGAATAGTGTGTGCAGATTCAACTTAGCAATAGATAAATAATTCATAGTATGGTGCAGCTGAGAACAGCGTAAGGTTAAGTCTTAGGATGTGAAAGATTTGCACTCGTAATGAAGCTCCATGCAATCTCTTGTGTGTTATTTCGCGGATTTAAATGCACTTGTGTGGGACTTTGTTTGTCAGCGTTCACTAGTGATCTGGATGTAGTTTTTCTGAAACGGGGAAGAAAATTAGCATCTTCAGCACAAAGCCTAAAGAGTCACACTCTGTGATCTCTCAAACAAATATTATGTATTATGTCTGCATAAATCATGCTATGGTGTAAACCAGTAAAATATCTTCGTAAAATTACTGCATGCGACGACAATAGCTGCCATCGCCAACGCAAAATATGAGCATGTTTGTCTCATCCGGCTGGAGACAAACGGCGGGATTCAAGTAGCCAATGAATCTCCAGTGCTTGACTAGCGGCAACAAACTACATGGTCAGCAGGTGATGTAAAAGAGACGAAGAGCTTCTACGCAATTGAATAAACAGTGAAAGATTTCGGATTGTTGAGAGTGTCGTACTCGTCCTGTAATATTGTGTCGCCTAATCAGAATTTGGGCAAGTTAAGTGCAATGGTTTGTCTTTTTCGATGAAGCATCAGTGCGAGGCTGATTTGGAAATACTTATCGGTAATTAAGTTGAACACAAATAGATAACAGGATGACGGCGGTGAAATTTGTAACAAATTTTTTCAGCGCCAATTTTATCGCGCCAGAACGGCAAATTATAAGAGTTTTCATCCTTTTTAGCGCATTTCCTCATTTATGGAAAAAATGCACTATTGTGCTCGCCATGTCCGTCTGTTTGTCTGTCCGTCCGTCCGTTACCTCAAGTTTTCGTCGACGAGAAAATGCGCTCTCTGTCACTCACTGCAATGAGTACTGAGTTATATTTTTTCAACCGTTCAAAGATTACAAATAAATATATTGATTTAAATTGCGAAATTCAGATGTTTTCCTATCGTCTCCGTGTAGAATTATATTAGGGAAAATCGATGGAGCAATCTCATTGGATGTGAGTTTCATCAAAAACAGGGTAGGATCATGAAAGCTTCATCATTTATTATATCTCTTTATTTATTTCTAAAACTTTTTTAACTGATCATTTGATTATACATGAATCTGCCTTGGCAATTTTGTAGAGCCGTCGCCATTGTAAATCCATTAAACGCATTGCCTGTACTTCGATCCTAATCATATTTTTTTCTGGACGCAATAACGACTTGTAACGTTCCATTCTTATACGCGAATGTTGAGCTCAAAAACTTGAAATTCGCGCGAGTATTACTAATAACTTTAAGAATAAACAATCATATTTCCGGCATCACAGCATGTCGCTCTAAATACGCTCACGACATTCATGGTAAAAATTACAAATCCCACCTTACCTAATTTTTTTATGCCAAACTTAGAATTAGCGTGAATGCTTCTGCAATAATATGTATAAATGTTGAGAAACCCGGTCTTCATGGGTGCCTGGTGAAATAAAGTGCCCAATCATGAAAAATAAAAATTTATTAATTGCACATCTAAATTTATTCATAATGCATGCACTCTGTTGAGTGGCAGGAGTTATTGATGACAATAGGTTATTCTATGAGAGATATCAGCACAATTACCTTGAGTTGTAATGAAGTGTGCATGTATAGTGTAATGTCCTCAAGCTCTGATGCACTTTGTAACGGAGTGATCTACAGATGCCTTGTGCACCTTCTGCTGGAAGTCGCCACAAGACGGGAGACTACTTAATATAAGACTTGATAAAAATATTCAAACTTTAAAAATGTTCAAAGCCTGATGAGGCATTGGACATACTCTAATTAAAAATGACTAAACTCATAAAAAATTTCACACATTTTTGGTCAAAATTTTTGTGTTTTCGACGCCGACGTATTTTTGGGTGATGGTGAACGCCCAGTCGGGAAAATTGCAGCTCATGCCTTCACACTCGGTGCACCCAACGCCCACCAGTTCATATGTTGTTACAATGAAGATGAGAGAAATACCTGTAGAAGAATATTGTTCGACTTGTTTGCCATGTTATCGCTAGCGCCATTCCCTCACGCTCTCGAGGCCCTTGCCAATTTGGTGTCTTGCCAAAATTTCGTTCCTCTTCGAGGTTCTAATTTAATTTAGAGAGTTCACTCGCAATTTTCTCGCTAGTGAGTGGTTGTTATGACTCGTAATATTGGCCGAGTGCTTTTCTTAGCGCTTCATGACTTGTTTATTACCACAGGAAGTGCTGCTGCTCGTGCCCAACATATATGTTGCCTTAGATGTTGTTCTGCCGCACATGTGCAATATTCATTTCGGTAGGAGGCGTTTCATCGCTCAGCGAAGGTGAAATGCATTACCATCAGTTGTTTGGTTTATCATTAACCGCAATTATCATTTAATCGGCGGCGCTTTATTATTTCACTGCTCAAACGATAAAGCCTTATTTCTCTCAGAGTTATTGATATCCATCCGAAATAATTATTAGTTATTTAGTTTAGTTATTTGAACGAACTCAAGTTTGCTACGTTGACCACCATGCAGTTGGTTGTTAAAAATCAATCGAATAGCGAATTCTTGATGCCACAACGCTGAATATTGAATTGAACCGTCGCCATGATACATCGGAGCAGAAATATATTTACTGATCGTCTTCAGTCTTATTGGGTTTTTAAAAAATTGCTTAGGGGTATTATTTCAGTAAAAATTTAGGATTGTCCATAAAATTTGCTGTAATCCTAATTTTTGCATGAGGCTGGGAAATTATCTGCTGTTGCCCTTCTTCAATATAAATAGAAGACTGTCAAGGACTAGAGTAATTTGTTCATATCTGTTAAATTATTCTGATTTTTTGTTAGAAGTATGTTAATTAATGTAATTAAATATGATGTTAATTATCCGTCATATGTTAATGACGGTTGTTTGTGCTCGTCAATTCATAGTTCTATATAGTCTATGCATTATTTTTTAGCTCATGAACATGCAAACATTCCCAAAATGCACGTTGAAATTTTTTGCTTTGCCTTATTTTATACGCTTATTCGTAATTGTCTAATTTCTTATTTTTATTTACGGAAAAAATGTAATGCATAACCTTTGTTGGACTGCAAGTAGGTATCAGCAATACTGCTGTTGTATATAGGTATAATACTAGGATTTGTTTCTTCTTTACTCGCTTATTGTATTTATTCAAACTTAGTTTCATTGGGTCCCGAAAATTCATCAGACTTTTCATTTTACATCCTTATAAAAAATTCGACGAATTCTATATAAGGGAGCTGTGCTTCTCAGCATTAATTTTAACAATTAAATCATAATTGTTTGTCCCAGCGGTCGGGCTTCACCCTCGGGAGACATTCTTGCGGGCCAATGTTTTTTTAACCTTGTCTTCTATGGATCTGTGATCTCTCATTATATTGATTGTTTTTATGAATAATCTGAAATTCTTCAGCATTAACTGCTGGTTGTATACTTCATTTTATTGATAATTTAACTCATTGTTAAATTGTCATTATGGCTACAGTTGGACTGGACCCACGTGAGGCGTTCTCGAGAGTCGGGCTGTGCGTTCTCCTCGGGATTTTCGTGTTCATCGTCGTCGAGGTTCTAGCCGCGGTTGACTACAGCCCTCAACCGCCCTCCGATATCCCCTCTAATGCCCTCACGCCGCCCTCCGACCTCCCCTCTAACGCCCTCACTTCGTCCTCCGACCTCCCCTCTAACGCCCTCAATGGCACCGCTTGCTGTGTCCACGCTGTAGGAAACGGAAAAAGTACTTGCGCCCACTCGCTCAAAGGCGGAAAAGTTCACTACGGCGAAAATGAAGCCAGTTTGTGCCTGAACGTTGGTAAAAATGGTCTAAGTTCCAACGATGCTGTTCACTATGCTAAAAATATAGTAAAATTAGAAGTGAATTGTTCGTCTTCAGTTTATTGTAATGACGACATGTCAAAGCTGCTCTGTTCGTGCGCGCACTCTAACAACAACAGCGTCAACGGCCACGTCCACGACGCCGAGAGCTACAAGGAGAGGCGCTGTCCCTGCAGCCTTCTCGTCGCCGAAGAGGAACAAGAAGGAAATGGGAGAAAGTCGATCAATTATGAGGTAAGCTTTCTTTAGTTGCTATATATATATATAACTTCTACAGGCGTATGGAGTCTTGTTATGAGATAAGCTTTCTTTAGTTGCTATATATATAACTTCTACAGGCGTATGGAGTCTTTTTACAGGCGTATGATGTCTTGTTATTATGAGGTAAGCTTTCTTTAGTTGCTATATATATAACTTCTACAGGCGTATGATGTCTTGTTATTATGAGATAAGCTTTCTTTAGTTGCTATATTGATAACTTCGACAGGCGTATGGAGTCTTGTTATTATGAGGTAAGCTTTCTTTAGTTGCTATATATATAACTTCTACAGGCGTATGGAGTCTTGTTATGAGATAAGCTTTCTTTAGTTGCTCTATTGATAACTTCGACAGGCGTATGGAGTCTTGTTATTATGAGGTAAGCTTTCTTTAGTTGCTATATATATATATAACTTCGACAGGCATATTAAGTCTTATTATGAGGCAACCTCTCAGAGGCTATGTATATTTATCTTTTCTAAGCGAATGAAGTCTTGTAATTATGAGGTGAGTTCTCTGTGATTGTATAGATATAAATTCTTCAGGTGTATGATGTCTTGTAATTATGAGGTGAGCCTTCTTACAATTATGAAGTAGGGTATAGTTCCTATACACTTATGATTTTAAACTTCAAACAAACAAACACATAAAAACAAGCCCAAACAAATTTAGTACAGATTATCAGCTTAACCCTTCAGTCCTCGGCTGGATAATGTAGTCTTTGAGTTTTTGAATTCCGATAACCCAATTCCAGTTAATAATTTTCAATCTGAGGTAATGTAAATCTTAACATGACCGAAATAAAAGAACACTACGTATAATTATAAACTGACTTTTTCCCAATTTTCATTTTGGAATATTTTTATTTGTCAATACAATTCTTATTTAACTTAATATTTATACAGCCTGAATAATTCCTTCCTGCCAATTTTGCATTGGATTATGACCCAGTTATCAAATATAAAAATATCCAACCAGATAATATGCCTAACGAAAATGATTGTAAATATTCGCTCAAATAACCTTTACACGCAGCGTCGGCCTGCAGGATACAAACGTAACAACAAATACAAAAGTTCCTACAATCCGCACATTGGATCAGATAATGCTTTAGGTTGTTGGCTGACAGTTGGTGGCACAGTTTATAAGATAATTTTTATGCTATTTGCTGACAGTTGGTTTGACAGTTTATAAGATAATTTTTATGTTATTTGCTGACAGTTGGTTTAACAGTTTATAAGATGATTTTTATGCTATTTGCTGACAGTTTGTGGGACAGTTTATAATTTTTATGCTATTTGCTGACAGTTGGTTATAGGACAGTTCATAAGATAATTTGTATGCTATTTGTCGACAGTCGGTTTGACAGTTTATAAGATAACTTTTTATGTCATTTGCTGACAGTTGGTAGGATAACTATAAGATAATTTTTTATGCTATTTGCTTACAGTTGGTAGGATACCTGAACCTGCTGGCTAACAGCATCGACAACTTTGCGCATGGGTTGGCTGTGGCGGGATCCTTCATGGTATCCTACAGGACCGGGGTGCTCACTACCTCTGCCATCCTCATGCACGAAGTGCCACACGAGATCGGGGACTTCGCTATTCTCCTCAGTTCAGGTCTCAAACATTATACTCATACTAACAATTTATTGATTTATTGATTGTTATCATTAAAAATAGTTTAAATCAGGTCTCAAACATTATACTCTTACTTACAAATTATTGATTTATTGATTGATATCATTAAAAATTGTTTAAATGTAGAGAATAATCGAGTAATTTAGATACAATATTTTAACGAATCACTAAGGATGCGTTTTGCGATACTGATTGTTATACTGAATTTAGAACAAATTATTGATTTATTGATTGATTTATTGTTATTTAAAAATAGTTTAAATGTAGAAAATAATCGAGTAATTTAGACACCAATTGTTGACGAATCATTAAGTATGCGTTTTACGATGATGATTGCACTAGTGATTTTAGAACTTCGTTTGTTTGGGCGATATCCTAGTTCGCAGCAAGATGTTTTAAAAGTGTTGCAGTTTGTGGCAGAGTGGCTTTTTTATAAGTTTACTGTCATTACTAAAATAATTGCACATTTGACGCGAAAATTGAGAAATTGGAGTCTTGCTTAAAACTTTGATATAAAATGACGCGGATAACTGATTGGTTGGATAATTGATTAGGTTGATTATACTGGCGAATTAATGATTGCCGGTGCCCATCATTTGGTTGTATTGGGGCAAAGCTCTTCAATTCTGAAACGTCTTGCACGGAAATTGTTGACATTAATGCTTTCCGAAATTTTTTTTGTTGTTCCGAAGTTTATAAAGAAGGTTTAAAAATTCTTCGTTTTGATGAGATAAACATTGCCGTTGCTTCAATATTGAAATTTCCTATTTCAAGTTGATAGAGTTATGCTTTACGTTCAATTTATGTGGTGTTGTATTTTGACTTTATTGCATCAATGTGACAGTGTTTCGTGTATATATGATTTTGGCAGTGTTCAACATATTGAATGAATCATGGCAGTGTTTCAAGTTTAGATTGTTCCATGTGTAGATTGTTCCTTGTGTAGATTGTTCCATGTGTACGTTGTTTCAGGTGTAGATTGTTCCTTGTGTACATTGTTTCAGGTGTATGTTGTTCCATGTGTACTTGTGTAGATTGTACGATGTATAGACTGCTCCAGGTGTAGATTGTTCAATATTAGTGTAGGCTGGCAGAATTTTTTTCTTAAGCAAGTTTTGTTAAAGACCAGGGAATTAGTTTTATTTATTAGCTTCTTGTTAGTTTTGTCAATAAGTCGTAGTAAATTCTTCGTAGGTGTTGGAAGATTGAAAATTAAATTACCGATACAATTTGGCTATAGCTGTGGCCCTCATCATTAAGGAGAGGACTCCAGCTATCAACCTTCAAACCACCGGCTTCGTCAGAGCTTTGAGATTGTTTCCCGAGTAGTTTTTTGCGCCTGTAAAATCTTCCTGTAGTATCACATTAACGAAATTTTAGCATTATTTGAATGGTATCCAAGTTACTTGATTTCGTACATATGTCAACCCAAATTTCGTTACTCATTGCGTCTTTAACTTAAAAATGAATGTTGTACATTTGAAACGTCGTTCAATATTAAAAATGTCTATCGGTAATTTAATTTCCAATCTTCCAACACCTACGAAGAATTTAGTACGACTTATTGAAAAAACCAACAAGAAGCTAATAAATAAAACTAATTCTCTCGTCTTTAACAAAAATTGTTCAATGTATAGATTGGTCCATGTATAGATTGTACAATGTTAGTATATGCTGGCAAAAAATTTGTTCCTTTAAGCAGGTTTCATTGAAGACCAGCGAATTTGTTTTATTGACAATTTTCTTATTAGTTTTTTCAATAGATCGAACAAGATTTATTGAACAAGATTCTTATTGAACAAGATTCTTATTGAACAAGATTCTTATTGAAAAAACTAATAAGAAAATTGTCAATAAAACAAATTCTCTGGTCTTCAATGAAACCTGCTTATTGTACAATGTGTAGATTGTTTCATGTATTTATTGCCCCATGCATACATTACTCCATGCATATATTGTTCCACGTATCAAGCCCCGAGCTCTGGACAAATTAAAGGACGCAATTCGCGTGGAAGTTGCGAAATTGAGAAAGCGGTGTTGGAGGAAGTCTACGCGAACTTTCATGAACGCCTACAGCACTGCATCAACGATTTCAGCCACCACATGCCAGATGTTATTTCCCACACTTAACTGTCTGAAATGCTATTTCTTTGTGAACCTGATTGCATCAATAAATTTGTTTTTCAATAAAAAATATATTTTTTTATGACGTTTTTAAAACCGTCCGCCCTCACTGCCGCACCCTGTAGAAAACGTTTCGGTTGTTATTGTTGGAACCCAGTCGGGGGATTGGGACAAGTAAAAATACTCACATAAGCAAAGTCTTAACAATGTATATCCATAATGTTCTGAATGAAAGCGATTAAATAAAAATTGATTCATGTTTTAAGAGGTTCGTGTGGTGCCACATCTGACCACGCATTCATGCAGTGCTGTACTACTGCATATACTACTGTACAGTAGTATATACTGTATATATACAGTATACAGTAGTAGTATACTACTGTATACTGTAATGTACCATAATAAAAGTGCCGTACTGCTAATAATTACCTTACCCAAATCCAAATCCAGTAAACGGGAGGTTTTTTTCTTGCTCATATCGCTTTATGAAACTCACTTCTCACTCCAGTTCCGCAACTAACATTATACAAAAACCTCAAAACGAACACACTTCACATCATTCGTTCTCTCCAAATAGCAATTTGTCCAAATAGCGATGCACTTCTTGCCCTTGTGTTATTCTGACCTAGTTTGGCCTGGCAAAAACTTGTATCAGTTATACTTGAAGAGAGCGTGTTTTTATTTGGAAAATATGATCCATTCATTTTCTTGAGTTTACATTTGAAATTACATGCATCTTTATTCCTGTAATGTGAACGATAAAAAATATTTATCAGCATACTTTCTCCGTTGTCAAAATCCGCATTATTCATGCTCGTTATATCCAGAATTAAAGTTTACGAACTCGCTGTCACTCAATCATCAATTTGCTATTAAGTGAGAGGAATTAACATTTTTCGATATGCTATGTGTAATTTCCACCACTTCAAACTGATACCATTCGTAGGAGTAGACAATTTACTAATAACATTTCCTTAATCAATATAATTGCGGCAACCGATAAAACTTTCACCGGAACTTCAGTCTAGTAAATATCTTTTAGCGACTGCAATACATATATCATGTCATGAATTATCGCAAATAACTTTAATCTTTCTGTAAAATTTCTAAGCTCATTCAATACGAATCCCGGTAAACAATTTCACCATAACCATAATGATTTCTTACTTTTCTTTGTCCATGACCACGGCCTAATTAATTAATTAATATAATAACGATCTAATTAATTGCAAACACGAAATTATTTAAATATTCGTTGAATAAATCCACCGAAATATTGAAAAAAGATAAAAAACTGCCTGTATATACATTATTTCACAAAAGGATTAACGTCGTTTACCGGAATCTGTGCGATGAGATACCACTTTTCACTAAAGTACACGAACGAAATCACTATTCTTGAACACAAAGTTTTAGATGAATCCTCCACTGTATCTCGCCGCCAAACACAATTCAGTCTTATACGAACAAAACTTTGAGCTTAAGCTATGATTTTTTTGTTTAAACTGTCAACAAAACGTATATTTCTAAATGAGGTTGCGAGAATTACGCTTTTTCCTTGTTGCGACAGGATTTTCGCTTGAAGCAACGTACTGGAAACTCTCATCAGAACATAACGCACATACAACGATAATAGTTCTATTTAAATTTAATGTGAACAAGCCCAATAATATTCACACTTAGCCATGACTCATACACAACTCGGTACCTACGGCAAAAGTCAAATTTTGCCTTAAGCTGTAAATCGTGTATCCTAACCAACTTATCATGTATCCTTACCACCTCACCGTGTATCCTTACCAACTTACCGTGTATCCTTAGTCCTTACCAAGTTATCGTGTATCCTAACCAAGTTATCGTGTATCCTAACGAACTGTTGTGCACTACAGGATGCGTGCAGCTGTACATCCTAGGGTTCTCAGCGGGCACGTTCCTGAACATCAGCCTCGTGTCGCTGCTGCCGCAGATGATGAAGGAGGAGCGTCCTGCGCACGCCGCTGCGCAGGTCCTAGCCATCTTGCTCGGTGCCATCACAATGGCCGCCGCCACCCACTGACATGATGGTACCAATGACCACCACCATTGATGATGGTCAGATGATAGTCAATAGGTGCTGTCAGGAGGCTGATACCGACCATCAGGATCAGGATCATTGCTGCCTGTGCCACCTACTTACCATCAAGGATAAGATCGTCTGCCGCTCACTCAAAATTCGAGGCCATGTTCCCTAAGACTTGCACTAAGACTATGAACTTGCCATCTTGTCAAAGATACGAGATTGTCAAAGACAATCTCGTATCTTTTTCTTTCTTTGACAAAGAAAGAAAACCACAGTCATTCATGCATGTGGTTTTCTTTCTTTGACAAGTTGGTAAAGATACACGATAAGGTGGTAAGAGACCAATTATTAGACCTAGAAGGATGTACCTAGACCGCCAACAGCCCTGTTCTTTATTGCGGCGTCCGTTGAGTGATTGACCCTCGGGCAATTGATCATTAGGTCTATGGTTATCATTGAGGTCTGTGACCATTCTTACCATTCGATGACCGCGCGAGGATTATTGTAAAGTTAATTTTATCATTGGATTATCCACTACCGAACTTAGCTCGGTCCTTTTAAAGGCTTTCACTTGTCAGTACTTGCATGGCAACTTGTTGTGGAATTGTTTCGACTTTTGATTAAAAATACATAGTTAATTTATTTAAAAACGGCATTATTTTCTCTAAAATTTTAAGCTAAAATAATGTGGAATTTTTTATTTTAAATGGCATGGTACCATTTAATAACTTTTTCGAGTTCCTCCTGGTAGAGAATCCTTCCGTCACAGAGCAGCGAAGACTCGAATAAACTTATATACGCTGCTCTACCTTGATTGAATAAACTCAGCATGTGTAGTGTTAATTTAGAGGAACGTGACTAACTGTGAGCAGTAAACTCTATGAACAGAAATTCGAAATGGACGAAATGAAGAGCTCAACTTTGATATCATAGCAAAATTCTTGAACTTATTTCCATTTTGTTTGTTGAGTAGAAGTCTTTTGTTGGAGTGCAGCCATTCTTTGTTTTCTTTTACCCGCGCGTATCGTGATGAATGATCAGGCAAAAATTCTTTGTTTTCTACGAGATGAATTTTGTAGCAAATACGTCATCGACACTTTATTTATTTTGTTTGTGCGAAGCGCTCTTAGTTGTTGGTTCGTGACACACAAACTTTATTTAATTTTGAACTAAACTTTGTTATTATTGTATCAATTGTGTTTTATTTTACTTGTAGTTTGGCTTTTCACAATCTCGTATAATTTATTATGTTGTACATTTCGTGTTTTTTCAGCACAAGTTCCATTGCTTTACCTCATTAAGATTTGTTCGCATGAAAAACGCGATAATGCGGCCATTAACTAATACGGTATATCTGATTTATTCTACCTAAATGATAAATGGCTTTCGCCCTCTGTATTTGTGAGTCATTCCTGTATGTGTTTTTCTTTCTATTCTTGATTAGATGATCTCTATGTTATTGTAACAAAATTGCTATTTTCCTCGTTTTTTTTTGTTAATTGATAGATTAGTTTTTCGTTTATATACTTAAATTATTCCCAAAAACATTAGTGACCGCGCACCGATTGCCAAAGAATATTGCTCCTGACGACTTAGAATTAGTCGTCAGACTTGCGCTTGTCGTGAAAGCGCCGATTTTTTTATCGTGTTATGGCAAACAAGGCTAAAAATTTGTCATTTTCACACAATGTGTCTTGGATACCGCAATAATATTTTTGTTCACAGAGTATTTATTATATTGTGTACACTTTTAGTTTCCTTCATGACTATTGCTCTAACTAAGAATTTGCCGCCTTTGTTCTTGTTTCAGGGATTTGTTTTTGGCAGCTCACGGTCACGGAAGGACAAACAATGTGATACTTGTGGCTAAAGTTTAATATAATTAATTAGATCAGACTTATCTTGGTTGATTAGACTTTTTCTGGAGTGAGAAATTCTAAAGAAAATTAAACATTTTTTCGTACTTGGACACAGTTTATTATGGTGTATCAATTATTTTTTCACGAATCGGGATGTCGTTTTTTTATTGTTGCCGAGAAGTCGCCATGAAGAGATATGTTTCATTGCTTCAATATTTCGGTGTTGGTGCTTAGGATCATACTTTCAAAACTCGCTAAGTGAACGTGGAATTTACGCTCTATTTTCTTATCTATTATTACGGGCAGGGTGGCCCAGTGGACGGGCAGGGTGGCCCAGTGGTTACAGTTCAGAGCACCCGGATTGGAGCAGAGAGGCGCGGGTTCGATCCCAGCTCTGTGCGCCAGTTTCTGGTCAGAATCGGCGAGGTGGCCGGACGGTTAAGCAAAAGCAAAATTTGAAGCAGCGAGTTGCGAGTTCAAGACTCGCAACAAGCTGTGGATGTTCTGCGATGTTAAAAATCGGCGACAGGCCTTCGGCCTAATAAACGCTGAAACCGCTATTATTATTATTATATGATTGGTGGATTTTGCTTGAAAGGCCGTCAATGATTGGCTGATGAACTTACGATCTCTTAACTTTTTTTGAAAGTATAGGCTCAGGATCATACAGTGACAAGCCTGCGAGGAGCCCATGCCAAAGCTCCAGAAGTCATATTTATATTTACATGGAAGTTGAGGACGATTTCTCCTCCACAAATTTTTTTCTGTAACATCCTCATGTGTTTTTGTCTTTATTTGTTGCATGAAATAAAATCTATCGCTGCACTATAATTTAAGCGAATCAATTATGTTGTATTTTCTTGTTATTTGATCGGTTTTTCATTCGTACTTCCATGACTTAATTTAATTGTTCAATATGTCTAGGGATATAACGAGGCACACTTCGGCTAGGATTTAGGGAAATAAGATATCGTTTTGGTAATTGGAGATTCGATATCTGCTCATGTATTCAGTACTCTTTGACTGTGATAGAAGTTGGAAGATGTAAAAAATTTCGGTTCCCTTGGCCACACCTGTCGATTTCTTCGTCGATTTACACGTAGCGGCCGATTTCTCGACTGTGATTGGTGGGTTTTGCTTGAACTGCAGTCAGTGATTGGCTATTGGAGTTACAAACGCATAGGTATTTTTTTAAACGTACGGCTTCTGTCCTTCAGCAAGTCTTCCTCTTCTTGTCAATGTTACGTCAGGAAACGTGTTGCTCAAAGTTACGTTTCAATGATTTGGAAGCCAAATCATGGAATGTCAAGAAATATAATTAAAAATATAATTATTATTCTAATTTGTCAATCGCTATGCATATTACCTTAGACTTGCAATCCATCATTAATTCTAAGACCTAAAATTAGATGTGTGTTTCTGCGGGTAGGGCGCTATTTATACAATGTGTGGACTTGAAAACCATCTTGAAATAATTCTAAATTCTCAGAATTGAAATGAAAACTCGGGAGATTCTTTTCGTTGAATATTTAATCATGTTCTCTTTTTTAAATAGACTTGCGTGGAATAAGGCTTGATCGTATTCTTTTAAATAAGCTTATGATTTAAAAGCTCCTATTTATTATTTTTGTTAATATTTTAAAATTGTAAGTGCCACTATAAGCTCGAATAACACCATAATGCGTGGCCTACGATCTGCTGAATAAGTCATCGATACAATTTGGGGTTCATTGTTCGCGTATTTGTTATGGAGAAATTATATTGAAATATATACGCCCAATTTGTTCGGGCAAATTAGGCGCATTTGTTATGGATGGCGGGCCCAGTGGGTGTTGAGGGAGTGGAGTGTCGCGCAATCTTACCATGAACTCTCATGATCATTTCGTGAAATTTATAGCAAACAAAACGGCATGTTGGTGCAGTTACAAAGTTTTGTCTCAGTTTACTTCTTTCTAGATCAGATGCAAGGGTTTCTTTTCTGCATGAAGCCGATTTTAGAATAGATTTAAAAATAAAGGCATTTGCTGGAGTAGTTCTTCATAGTCACTGTGTTTCATCTAGTTTTCATGGTTCATTTACGTGTTTCGTCTTTTTGTCGTTTTTAATGTTATAATACTTGATTATTTTCCTACATATCCTACATATATGTACAGTATATATTTCTATATTTTTCACTATCCTTATAAAACTTAGGACTTAATTCTGAAATCAATGCCGACTGCCTAAGCTGAACTTGCGGTCAGTTTAGCCAAGAATTTTTAATGTACTGGAAGAATTCTTGAAGCAAGTTCAATATTAAAAAGAAAAATAATGTTAAGAATTTTGCACGCTGAAGATATCATTTCAATTTTAGAAGAAATAGGACAAATATTATCCCTCATACGCAGGAGCAATCTATCCGCCTATAATTTATTTCAATCACAAATTGATCATGAATTTTAAAGCACTTAAAAGATTAAAAAAACCGCCAAGCTTTAAATGTAAAAATTTCGGTGTCCCGGCTTACTTATAAACGGAAACCTTGTCTGATCATCGTTTTTGTTCTTATTCACTTGAAATTTGTAAGAGCGAATTTCATTAGTTGCTTCGACTTTCAAATCAGGTACAAATCTCAAACGAGTAAATTTGGGCGTTCAAGTGGTTATGCTGTATCTTTCAATCCTTTAGCTGATGACGGAGGTGGTTTTCGGAACTTTTTTAATGAATTAATCGTTTGTCATGGCATTTTATTTGATATTAAATTCTAGATATTGAAAAACCGTTCCACAGATTTGGAATATTTCTTTGATCTAGCTTGAACAACAAGTGACGACTTCATTGATGACAAAATTTAATGAAATGAAAATTCAATCTGAAGCCCGCACTTTGTTGGCTGGTCAGATACAAGATTTATCCTGGTAAGTGGCGTGGCTAAAGGATGGAATCTAATATAAGAACTATTTTAATAAGGAGATTCTTAATCGGTGTAGCTTTAGTTCGGAGGCAAGTGCTCTATAACTAGTTCAGAAAGATCCGATGTAAACCCTGAGTGATTTTAATTTTTGGGGAAGGCACGGGCACTGAGCACTTACATGCATGTGTTCCTGATAGAGCAAGCGTTTGGGTCAAACGGGACTCCTAAAATATGTGAATAAAGTTCCAGGTTAATTAAAAATATCACCATTTCCTTCAGGCCACCTCCTCAACATTGACAACATATATACACAAAACAGCATTAACACAAAGTTTATGAAAAAGTAAAAGTTACAACTTAACACAAAATTTTTTCATTCAAATTTTTATGAAGACGTGAATGATAATTCATGACCATAAGAGGTTTCAAAACTCATGTACCTGCGAATCAATGCCAATTTTGATACAAATTTCTAAATTCCCAGGTCGTACGAAAAAATAGTTCAGAAAATTTGTAAGGCATTTATCAATCAACTAGAGAACATTCTGAGCGCTTGCGAGCAAGGCTTGAATAAAACCAGGCTCAGATTTATACTGGAAAATGAATGTAAGTACTAATGAAACAAAGGTCATATAATTACCATAAAAATATTCCATGTAGATAATTTCTATGACTCAACCTCCATATTTTTCACAATAACAGCAATCATTCCTTACTTCTTTTTAACCAAAAGAATGTAGACCACCACAATACCCAAAGCAAAATAACTACTTAATCCTCAGCAAATTTTCTTCGTCCCTTCAATCCACTGGCATAACGTATGAGTTTCCGTCGTTGCTTCATGTGTTCCCAGTTCTTTTGTCTCAGTTTCTGGAATTTGTCAGGTACGTTGTTACCGCTGTTGCTGCTGTCTTTTTAACCAAAAGAATGTAGACCATCACAATACCTAATGCAAAATAACTACTTAAACCTCAGCAAATTTTCTCCGTCCCTTCAATCCACTGGCATAACGTATGAGTTTCCGTCGTTGCTTCATGTGTTCCGAGTTCTTTTGTCTCAGTTTCTGGAATTTGTCAGGGACGTTGTTACTGCTGTTGCTGCTGTCTTCAACTGTATAACTCATCTCCTTCATGCCAAATTGGTTGCGTCGTTCCTCATGAGCCTCTTCGTGTTTGTTTTGTTGTTCCAACTTCAATCGTTCAGCAAACGTCATTCTGAAAAATGCAGGATGGATTTTAGCATTTAAATTGAATGAGAGGCAAAGCTAAACAACACTAACTCAAGATATTTCAGTTAAATTGAAGGAAGGAAATTAATTATGTAATTGTACCTATTTAATTAACAATGGTATTTGTTTCCATAGGTACTAAGAAGAAACCACAAAAACATTAAAAGCAATGGTAGAAACAAAATTTATGAATAATATAAATAGATGGCTTCATAATCAAGCAGGCCTGTACTTATGTTATCCTAAGCCAGATCAACTTTGGTACAGAGATCGATTTATTGAGGATCCAAATATCTCTTCAGCTGCTCATGCAAAATCAATAACTAATCTATACATATACCTGAATCCAATTGGGGCAAATGATATTGTGGGGAAACTGTGTCAGATATGGAAAGAAATTTCTTGCCCTGAGTTGTTAAAAGATACTTTTGATAAGTAGGTACTTTGCATTATTCAATTATGTAGGTATAAATTTTTCTTTTATAAAAATATGAGGGAGTCCTGGAATAAAGGGAGGTACAACAATAATCAGTGGACACATTAAATATTCAAGTATTTGAGTCAGTTCAATGAAAACTTAAACTCACTTTCTTATGTGTTTTGGTTCCCTCTTTATGTCGTCCAAGGAGCCAGCTGAAGTGAAGGAAAGTGTGACAGACTTCTTCAACTTTTTAGGGCTGATAGAATCATCTTTTTTCTGTGCCTCATGCTTCATTTTCTTGGCTTTGGGTGAGGGAGGGCCAGTTTTAACCTTCACACTTTTCTGAAAGAGAAGAAAAAAATTAATGTTGAATAGTAATGAAATCACAATCCAGGATGCAAAGATGTAGCAAGATTATACATTTCTGTGTATAGAATTGGTCTTTCTTCAGAGGGCATTTCTTTTTTGTAAAAATATGTTTTTACTTTTTTCAAGTTAATTTAGGGAAAGAAAATTATTTTATTGAATGGCATATATAACGATTATGTACTAGTAAAACTGCAAGATCATACTAACTTTAAAGCTGGTATTATTGCAAGATTTGAGCCAAAACTGGAATAGAGTTGGAAAATAGAGGCTTACATTGATGTCTTGTGTGTTTTGAGGTATAATGAACTTGAAAGCAACAGATGTACAATACATACCTACTCAACCTTAATGTTTATCAGTGTACCAACTGATCAGTTATATTTCTCCTTCTCTCAGTCTGCATTTGTCAGATGATAATTATCAACATCAAAGCTTCTCATTCAGCCCCCTGATAAATATTCAAAATTTCTAATGAAGCAGAGTTTGGTCATTGCACCTTTAAAAAATATTTTAGTCCAAAATGTCACAGTGCTATTGGTGAAGATTTTTTCAGCTCCAAAACCACCTACTTTTAGTCAATTGTAGGATTTCTGTGTCATTGAGTGACTATGTGGCCTGATATTACTATTGTTTGAACAGAAATATTCTATTCATGAAAAAATGAAAACTTTTTCTCTCCACTACATTCACACACGAATTTATATTATTGTGCTAAATCTCCTATTTCACCCTAGAAATGGCAACAAGAACATTTTTATTTACTTCAGAGGCAATTGAGCCATGATAATGTATGTTTTACATTTGTTATTTCACCCTAGAAATGGCAACAAGAACATTTTTATTCATTTCAGAGGCAATCGAGCCATGATAATGTATGTTTTACATTTTTTTTTGAAGAAACAATGCAGTTATAAATGACTGTGGGTAAAAGTCATACAGGCATTCAAGTGACGGTTCAAGTTGAACCATCGACAATGGCATCGAACAATGTTCAATAATGGCATTAAAATAATTGAACACAGCTGTCATTTTAGCTCTTCAGCAAGAAGATCTGCATGCCAGGGAATTGTCAGACTAAGATTTTTATGCATGGACCCATATTAGAAAATGGAAAGTTTTAGTAATTAGTTATACATGAAATATACCAGCAGTGGCTCCAAAGTGACATTTTCATTAACTTTGGAATCTCAAAGTTGTGTTTTTTTTTTGTAAAATTTTGTTAATAATTAGATAGGGAAAACTTCATCTAGCAAGAATCTTGCAGCTCCCAAAATGATGGCAAGCTCTAGTCTTGGCCAGACATGGAATACATTTACTTATCTTTGAAGAAGCAAAGCCCCTTTCCAAAGCTCTAAAGTATAAAAAATTTGTCACTTTGAAGCCATGAGATATCAATTATAAGGTAGGAAAATTCCAATCCTGCTCTTGGACAGGCTTTCCATTCAAGCCAAGATGAGTTTTCATACTTTTATTTGCAATTTGCAGCTATGACTACAAGTATGAGCTTGTTGGAATCTAAGTTTGGAGGTACCGTCAACCGGGGCTACTCGGGACAATTTTGAACATTTTTCATTCATAACTTCTTACCATGAAACATTTCAAAAAAAAGTTTGGGCTCATTTCAAAGCTCTTTGCAAGGGCTATCACATGGCTTCTTAAAAAAAATTCCATATGCTATTCGTAAGGTGCCAGAAGCAAAAAAAGTGTCCTGAGTAGCCTTGTCGAACGGGGCTACTCGAGACACTTGGAATAAAACTTCATTTTAAAGCATTTGAAGCATGCAGAGTGTATTCATCCATTACTAACAGTACTCTGAAGTTTTCCTCTTTCATTGTAGATGATGTAGAGGTAGAATAATTAATAAATGACATTTTCTGTGATTTTTACTTGTTTTTCCTTTATTTATGATATTACCATTTACCATATACGTTAATTACCGTATTATTGATAAGATATTACCGTATTATTGATGCTGCGATATTACCGTATCCATGAACATGCCATTGAGCATTTACAACAACCTTGTCCACTGCAAGCTTCATATCAGCAGCCTTATAGCATTTTTTCTGTATCTGTAAGCTTGCAGGATGGCCAGTAATTTCACACCATTTTAATTGGGTTAAGTCAATTTACTATAAAAAAGATTGTGAAAAACATACCTGATACAGAAAGGAATGATTTAGTGACAACCATCATATGTTTTGGGGAAATAAATCATACTTTAGGACAATTACTTTTCATTCTATGATGCCTGGTGCACANGTTTTAAATATCCATCAAAAGATGTGTATAAGAGACAGACATTTTTTCGATTGCGTAGTTTCGGTCGCATTAGAGCGGTCAGACTGCTTTATTACTTGTTCAGTTGACACTTGCTGTACAACCGGACTGTTTTTAGGGTAAAATTAGTTATTTGGGGTAACACGTGCATGCAACCTTGTAATAAGTCCGTGGCTTGTAAATAGTTCGTCATTACACAGCGTAAATGGCTTTTCATTAAAAATTACCCGGCGACGCATCTTTAAAATGGCCGGCGACGCTTTGGGCTGTAAAATCCATATATTGCCGACGCTGCATCCACCCTCTGCACAGTGGTTTTACGCCATGTCGGAGGACTGTCCCAACTCCCGAGTTACCCTGCCCGTCCCGAGTAGCCCCGGTTGATGGTAGCCTGGTAGGTAGGTACTCTTAGGTAGTCTTAGTCTTATAGGACAGTTAGCCTAACTGTCCTAACTCAGGGCCTGAGTTACCTAGGACTCATTACTCAAGAGTCAGAAATGAACTTGCAGGAGAGTCTAAAAAAAAATCTTCAAGCAATTAGGCACTTACCATTAGGTATGTTGACTGTTGACATATAATGAGAATTTATTACGATAATGCCTATCGGCTATCCTATAGCTATAGCCTAGTTATATAGTCGGTTCACTCGGTTGAAGACTGGTTATGAACTTATGATACTATGATTAAATCACCCTAGAGCTTGATCTTAGGTATCTTGTAGAGTATAGTAGTACGGTTACTACGGTAGCTACTGGCTTGTTACTTCAAATCATTTTCTGAGTTCACAGCTTCACGACGACGCGGATGCTTTTAACTAGCGTGACTACAAGTCTACAAGCCGTTGCTGCGTGGTACACATGGGCACGAAGAACAGATGCGAGAGCGAGTCAGAGTGAAGAATCTTTTGCTTACCGTGGTTCAGACACGGTTGCTTTTGTCATGCCTCGGCAGCGGAAAATTTAGTATTGTTAATAATACATATATTCAAGCACAAATAAAACGTTTAAAAATTAATTTTTTAAAGACAACACTTCTAAAGAATCCAGTGTCTCCAATGTTAAAGATGTACAATTAATTTTTCATTTTATTTTCGAATATAAAAAAAATTATTTTTCCAATTTTTCATATATAATTTTTTTTTGCAAAATTATTCATTCTGTCAATAGATTCAAGCATTACCTCCGACTTCACACAAGTGTGCAAAATTTCAGATCAATTGGACAGGTAAAAGCATGGTTGAATTAATACTATTAATATTCAACCATGGGTAAAAGTGTGTTAAACATCAGTTATAAGATTTGTAGCTGACAAAATTATTTTTCAATTTTTTAGCTAATAATAAAAAAAAATTATTTTAAAATAATTTATTTTGTCATTTGATTAATGCATTGTCTCCAACTTTACGCAAGTGTGCAAAATTTCAGATCAATAGGATAAGTACAAGTGTGTTAAATTTCAATTATAAGATTTGTAGCAGACAGACAAACAAGAAGTGAAGTTAAAGAGAAGTGTTGTAAAAAACGAAAGCTACTAGGAGCGAAGGATTCTGTGGGCAAAAAATATGGTCAGATTATTAATATTTCACATTTTACCTGCTATACAAACACGGTGAGAAGCCTCTACTTTCAATATCAGTTCCAACTATTCAAACAGTTAATAGCAGAACTTATTTCTTGATTACTCAGTTGAAGTGCCATTATTTTAGCACTCAGAAACTTCGAACAAGAAATGGGAAGGAAAAACGAAGTAAAATGCTTTTTTTTTGTTAATGTATAACCGACGAATCCAGATCAGACGGTTTTTTACGGACTTATTGCCGTATTTGACAACCGGTAGAAAACAGGGTGCTGAGTTTGAATTTCTAAGAAATGTACGTGCGGTGATCTGAATTAAAGGTGATCTGAAAACAAAAGAAGTGCTCGACCTTACCGTATTACGTTTTGCAGACTCAGAGAGCACTCCCATTAACAGAAGGACAATAAGTATACCATTCGCATCCAGCATCCTCAAAGTTTGACCCTTAATTCAGCGAATTAGCGTGTGATCTCATCTATAAGAAGGACAAATCTAAGTAGACCCGCCTACATTATAACATAGTGATCTCGGCGCTGAATTGTAGGCCTGATGTGGCCTGTCGCCGATTCTTTTCCTTGTCGTGCCTTGTTCACAGAAGATCTAAAATCGTGTCATTTGACCGGATCTTTTCATGACTGACGATAGTTTGAAGTAGCTACTATAGTTTTCCCGGGTTTTCGATATGGTGCTAGGCATTTCAAATCTGAACATATATTTTTCCATAGCTTTATCTAGTCTGTTCTTGAGCGCGTTCATACTTGGAGCGCCAACGATGTCATCGGGGAGGCTGTTCCACATGTCGGTGATTCGAAGCTAGAAGAAACGTTGTCGCGTGGAAAAGTTGCAGCGCAGATTTTTTAGTTTATAGCCATGGCCCCTGGTGTTGGTTCTTGTTTCAAATTCTAGTAATCCTTCGGGAACCTTGTATAAACCATGAGTATACTTGTATACTTCAATGAGGTCCCCACGCAGACGTCGATAACTGAGGCTTGGCAGCTTCATAATCATCAATCTTTCTTCATAGGACTTGCCCTTCAAGCCTGGAATTATCCTTGTTGCACGTCTTTGAACAGTCTCTATTAAATTTCTGTCCTTTTAAAATCTCGGTGACCACACTACGTTTCCAAACTACAGATTCGGGCGCACGATGACAACAAACAACTGCTTCATCGCTTCTGCATCTAGGAACTCGTATGAGCGTCTGATTAGTCCAAGAAGTTTGTTGGACGTGTTAGCTTGCGTTTCAACATGCTTTGAAAAATTTCAGCTCCTTGTCGACATCTTTTTCCACACTAGACTTTTCAATCATTACTCTTTCGTTGCAACCATGTCTTCTCATACTGTAATCTTGCTGTTCATTGTTCTTCCCGAGGTGAAGTACTTTACACTTGCCAGCATTAAACCGCAGCTGCCACGTATCAGCCCAGTTAACTAAACTGTCAAGATCATCTTGCAATTGCGCTTTATTTGACGCATCCTTCACTGTATTATAAACTTTTGTGTCGTCGGCATACATAGAGCACACGCTGGACACTGCTTCTGGCAGATCGTTTATAAAAGCAGCGAATAAAATAGGCCCAAGAACGATTCCTTGTGGCACGCCACTGAGCACTGATGGCCAGTCTGACACGGTTTCGTTAATACTGACACGTTGTCGTCTACCTACCAGAAAATCTCTGATCCATTGGAGTACGTTTCCCTCAATTCCCAAAGACCTCTCTTTACGCAACAGCCGCTCATGCGGAACTGTCAAATGCTTTAGTAAAATTGAAGGCTCCCACTGGCTCTGGCCCCATCCACTGGCTCCCTTTCGTCCGGCAGGCCAGTCCAATTGTTCAACGTAGATAGT